ACAATATCAAAAATCAGTTACAATAGCGCGAATCAAAGGCAAATAAATTACTTCATAACAGCGACGCCTCGTCCATCAACTCCACATATTTAACATACATATCGTTAGCTTAGGGTGAAAAGTTGCTAAGTCCATCTTTTATGAAACCCTACATTTCGATACAGAAAACAAGGGAAATTATTCCAGAAGAGAGAGAATTTCCAAAAGACCGAATTAATTATTTTAGTTCTGTTCACTTCTATTAAAACAATACTTCCCTAGTCCATAGAAAGAAAGAAAATCCGATAAATTAAAATAGTAGCCAAAATTTTGATTAACGTCTGATTTTGATTTTTGGTCTGCTNGTATCGCATTTTCTAAAAATTTCGAACTTCGAAACTCCTTACATATGTATGCAGTGACACAAATTTATTCATATGCACATCTGATAATATGTCCATACTTCGTATTTATAATTTACCGCTTATTTAATTGAAATGCTTTTGTATTTAATATTATTTGTATTTTTCTTTTAGATATGGTTAACCAAAAATATTAGGCGCATCCAACAACAATATCAAAAATCAGTTACAATAGCGCGAATCAAAGGCAAATAAATTGCTTCATAACAGCGACGCCTCGTCCATCAACTCCACATATTTAACATACATATCGTTAGCTTAGGGTGAAAAGTTGCTAAGTCCATTAATTATTTTAGTTCTGTTCACTTCTATGCAGTAAAACAAATACTTCCCTAGTCCATAGAAAGAAAGAAAATCCGATAAATTCAAAATAGTAGCCAAAATTTTGATTAACGTCTGATTTTGATTTTTGGTCTGCCCCTTCGTATGTTCGTTATGTTTTGCTTTGAAAACGAAAAAATGATTGTATCGAAGTTTTGCAAAATATTTGAAGAAGATGAGTTTAAGAAGTTTTTCTTCTTTTCTGTAAAGTTTGAAAAAAAAAACTGGAGCTAACAAATTTTGACTCTAAGCTGACTATATATGTATTAAAACAATATCAGCAAAATGCATAAAAAACACACAGCTGCAGCAACAACAACAACAACAACAACAAAGATAAATTAAAATAAAACATACACATAAACATACATACATACTTTACACTTTATTTAACATGTGTATACCTTGAATGTATTTATGTGATTTGCAAACAAACTTCCTTTCTTTTTCGCTATTTGTTTTTAGTTTTTAAAGTATGTACTACATAAAAAGAAGAAAATATTGTGCTATAAATAAAAAAAATTAGAATTAGTCATTTAGGTTTATTATTGAGGCGATAAAAAGCAAAAAAAATTTTGAGGTAGCAGACAAAATGCATGGAAGGGCATGTAAGTTTGAAAAATTAATTGCTACTGATTTGATCGAAGCTTCCGAAATAGCACGATTTTTTCTAAAGTAGCGCTCCAATGTGCTCAGTTGCAGTTTGCCTTGTGGATCTTCAAAATTTCCTGCACCCAGCAACTAAAGTATTCCAAATAAAATTTTCCTAGCTTTTTATTCACTGANCAGCAACAACAACAACAACAACAACAACAACAACAACAACAAAGATAAATTAAAATAAAACATACACATAAACATACATACATACTGTACACTTTATTTAACATGTGTATACCTTGAATGTATTTATGTGATTTGCAAACAAACTTCCTTTCTTTTTCGCTATTTGCTTTTAGTTTTTAAAGTATGTACTACATAAAAAGAAGAAAATATTGTGCTATAAATAAAAAAATTTAGAATTAGTCATTTAGGTTTATTATTGAGGCGATAAAAAGCAAAAATATTTTGAGGTAGCAGACAAAATGCATGGAAGTGCATGTAAGTTTGAAAAATTAATTGCTACTGATTTGATCGAAGCTTCCGAAATAGCACGATTTTTTCTAAAGTAGCGCTCCAATGCGCTCAGTTGCAGTTTGCCTTGTGGATCTTCAAAATTTCCTGCACCCAGCAACTAAAGTATTCCAAATAAAATTTTCCTAGCTTTTTATTCACTGATTCTGCTCACCGTACACATTTATATTTTTTGTACTATTTACATATTTAGCATCTTTGACTTAATTTATCTGTATGTAGTATTAATATTCGAAAATTGGCGTATAAAAATTGGAAATATACATATACACATTTATTTATTCTTTATATTATGTTCACACATATGCTTGTAAGTAATGCATTACATAGAATAAGGCTTGAGTTCAGTAAATTTTTTGAAATTTATTATTATTATTATATTTTTAAATTTCAGTAATAGGTACTTTCGACAATTTGCTTAATAATTTTTTGTTCTCGCAAAATTTTTTTCTATACACACAGATATCGGCTTCCACACTAATGATTTTACAAAAAAAAAATGCATTTTTAAATAACTTATAGATCTGTAAATCGGTTACTAATAGTTCATACAGCACATGTAGCACCTGAAAAGTGCCTAAAAGTTAGGCGTTTCACTTACTATTTTATATGAAAATTTGGAAAATATTGGTTGCATAGGTATTTACGAAAATGTCAAAATAATTAGCTTTTTCTTAAGGCTCAGTTACTCTAGACTTAACATAACTTACGTAAGAAATCGTCAATGATTACTCAACACGTCAACTTAGCCAGAAGCGAAAATATTTTGGTTTTGTATTTTCCTTTTCAGCTCATTGTCAATTTGCCGCCTATAAGCCACATCAAAAAATTCGTGAACAAAAATATATCGCGTTGGCCAATATATTAGATTTTACGTAACGTAATCAAGTCCAGACTAACTGAACCTTTAGGTTTGAACAAGTCATACATGCACACTGAAATACATATGTACATAGGTACATGTATGTCTATTATTATCCGTATTGCGTGTGTCACCTTCCCCGCTTTAATATTTTAACGAAGTAGTTGCAAAAAAAATTGTTTACCGAGTGTTACAATTTTATTTAACAAAATAAATTATTACTATTATCGTTAGTTGTNTTTTCTTAAGGCTCAGTTACTCTAGACTTAACATAACTTACGTAAGAAATCGTCAATGATTACTCAACACGTCAACTTAGCCAGAAGCGAAAATATTTTGGTTTTGTATTTTCCTTTTCAGCTCATTGTCAATTTGCCGCCTATAAGCCTCATCTAAAAATTTATGAACAAAAATATATTGCGTTGGCCAATATATTAGACTACGTTACGTAAATCAAGTCCAGACTAACTGAACCTTTAGGTTTGAACAAGTCATACATGCACACTGAAATACATATGTACATAGGTACATTTATGTCTATTATTATCCGTATTGCGTGTGTCACCTTCCTCGCTTTAATATTTTAACGAAGTAGTTGCAAAAAAAATTGTTTACGAGTATTACAATTTTATTTAACAAAATAAATTATTACTATTATCGTTAGTTGTTTTGTATTTTCTTTTTCGTAATGCCATATTTAATTGTTTTTTTTTTAACAGGAAATTCTGAAAACAGGAATTGAGAAAAGTTTGGGATCAGGTGATAGGAGCAATCCAAATAACCATTAATATTTCTTTAAGCTTAGTTTCCGGCTCTCAAGAAAAAATCACAGGAAATATTTTTTATTATTTCTGTTGCTTGCAAAAAGTTTTTGTAAATTGTCTTGAAGAAATAAATATACGAGAATTTTTTCCCCTGTGAGCAGCAAACTGATTTAAGAAATTTTGATAGAAAAAATGTCTTCTTCATTTCTTGGGCGTTTTTCATATGAAATTTTTTGGTTGCCTTGAAAGCTGGATACTATGCTAAACTGCGCAGAAGTTAAAAAATTCCAAAAACAAAAATAAAAATAAAATATATTTTTCTTCGCTATTTTAAGAAAATCAAAAAATGCTGAAAATTCATCAATTTTCCGACTGATATATCGAGCCCTAACCGCTAAAATAACGTAAGCGACATTTTTCTTCAAAATTTTCTTTTTGATGCAAAAATATTCCTAGAGCATCTAGATGCATTTCTGCATCAAAACGAAAATTTTGAAAAAATGTCGCTTACGTTATTTTGGCGGTTAAGGCTCGATATATTTCGAGTAATTAATTCTGCAGATAATATTACATATGCATGTACCTATATGTAGATATACATACATACATACATACATGCAAAATAACATGTGGCACTCTTTAATTGGTTTTACGTACAAAATAAAGACATCCACGAAAATTTTTAGGGGTCACTACGAGGGTTAAAACATATTTAAATAAAAAAAGAACATTGCAAAAATACGAAAAAATTTGGACTTACAATCTTAAATATTCATATAAATTCAAAAGTCGCTGAGTTATAGCTGGTCGAATTTTTGCGATAAAAAAAAAGCTTTTCAAATCCTGGTAGCGAGCCCTTTTTAACCGACTTCCAAAAAAGGAGGAGGTTATCAGTTCTTCGGAACATTTTTTTTTTTTTTATGTAAGTTACCGCATAACTTTGGACCACGTCAACCGATTTCGATAATTCTTTTTGCATCGGAAAGGTAGTGTCTCCCATACTGGTTAAGATCCGAGCAGTGGATCATGAGATATATATAGTATATATATATATTTTTTTTTTTATATATGAGAGTTGAAGTCGGTTTTTTTTTGCTAAAAATTTCTTGTTCAATTTGAAACTTTCGTCGTGATGTTTTTATTTTGTACGTACAACAAAATATTTTTGTGATATTTTAAGGACCAGCCTAATTACATATGTATAAGAACAATTAGTTTCCAAAACAAGAATATTCTTTAACAACAAAATTAAGGTAACCAAGAAATTGTAAAAAATGCTTAATTTATTTCTAGACTTTTCTCAGTTTTGGTTGAATTGAATTAATTTAACTAAAATTAATTATTTTTATTAATTATAATTTGTTTTATTAAATTTAATTCAATAAATGCATCTCTAAAAATTATAAAAGCGTAAATAGCGGCAACGCATGATTTTTAAAGAATTTTTTTAAATAATGAAACTGAACACGCCAACTCACAATAACTGTAAACAAATTTCCAATTCATTGCCGCAAATAAACGCAGTTTTGTAAACACAAAATACACACATACATAACTAATACATGAGAAATCGTGGACATTTTTTGAGTGTAAAACTTTAGAAAAATATTTTTCACTTCTGAAAATAATCCACTTTAAAAGTGAGTGGTTACCATGCTAACCAAACGAATTAGAAAATTGTTTAAGTGACCATTAACTTGCGCTGAAAAGGGTGGGAAGACTTATTTTTTTAGAAACTTTAACTAAACTTAAATTTTTATCATTATTTTCGAGTTAATGTGAAACGCTAATTGTAATATTATGGCCTTATTTATAAAAAATAAAATAGATTCAGGAGCTTTACAAAGTGACATTTCGATTTATAAAGCAGTTCATGTCTTATTTATTTTTTATGAATTTTGGGTGTTAGAAAATGAAAAATATTGTTTAAAAGTACCTAATGAATAAAATTTGCAAATTATTTGCATTGTGCAGCACTATGAATAACGAAGAATTCCAAAATTTATAAAATTGTTTAAAAAAATATCTTAGCTTTTACATAAAAAATTAGAATGTTAAATATATTTAAACTTTATACACATACATATTAGCAAAGTGGCACTAGAAGGGGCAGTGCGGAGCTTGAAAAAGGGACGACAAAGTATTTTTTCATAATTTTATCTAAAAAATGAGCCCTTATCACAAAAATAACGTAAATTAAATTTTTTTCATAATTTGGAAAATACTGAATATTTTTTGATTGAAAGAATTAAAATTTTC